ATTATTTATATATATAATATAATATATTATTATTTATTATATAATAATATATATAATAATATTATAAATTAAATATATAAGACTTAAACAATTTATTCTAATGGCATATAATTCTTACATTTCTTGTTAATGCATAATGCATAATATGTATGTTAAGCGTAGTTTCTTATATAAATAAAATGCACATTGGATAAAATTCTTTATGTAATACATTTATTTGAATGATTCGCATATTTGTTTACGATAAGAATATTTAACATACGTAATTATTTTGTATTCAGTTTAAGTATATATATATATATATATATATATGAATTGAGACTATTCCAAAATTATATAGCACGAACTTTAATCGGACATCAATATATAATAAAATTGATTTTGAATCATTTGTATGTATCATTTATTGTATCATAAAATTTGTACGAAGGAAAAATTGAATGTGTGCGTCATCTTGCACATTGCATTACATAATCGTTAAGTATAATTAACGTAAAGATTACAAATTCTTCAATTATTGATATGTAATTTAAACGATGTTATATTATGTACATGGTTTGCGTATTATACTACTCCCGCGTCGATTAAAAAAAAAAAGAAAAAAAAAAAAAAGGGAAAAGAAAAAGAAAAAGAAAAATTTTCACTATGCGCCGACGCAAATTGTCGACAAAGTTTGATGTTAAAAATTATTGACGCCGACGCAATACGCCCTAATCAGAGCCGTATCGTTCGTTTTTCGAGGAAACATGAAAATTCCAATCGTTATTAAAATTCTATGAAACTTGGCATCACCGTAGTATATTATAAGTTCAAGATAAGGTCATTTATTTGTGTTATAAATGTTATTTTACATTGTGAAAACATAAATTAATCTTGTTTGAGAAATACCAAGAGACGCAGAAGAAGAAGAAGAAGAAGAAGAAGACGTTTAACGAAGATTATTATTAAATGTTTGATTAATGAAAACAATGATCTTTATTGTTAATTATTAACAAACAAACAAAAATAAAAATATATACATATATATATTTATATTACATTATTTTTCAGCTTTACATTTCTTCATAATGAGAAATTTCGTTGATTATCGAAGAAACAAAGTTGAAGAATAATAATAAAAAGAGGTCAACGATAAGATTCACGTGGGGAATAGAAAGAAAGAAAAGAAAAAGAAAAAAAAGAAAAATAACGTGAAAGAAAATACAAGTGTATTTGGTACTAGTAGTAGTAATAGAAGAAGAAGAAGAAGAAAAAGAAGAAGAAGAAGGAAAAACACGTGGTCCATCGTTGAAGAGTGACGTCCCTGAGGGAAATTGAGGTGAGAAAAGGGGCAGAGGCAGCCGTGCACGAACGCCATGTCGATGTTCAACCCTCTAGTTCGTTCTCGTTACACAGTTCTTGTCTAAAAGTCTAAGTTATCTTAGTTGGGGAAAGACAACAACAAAAAAAGAACGTTGTGAAATAGGAAAAGAGAGTAATAATAATCGAAAGATTTTAGTGCACATAAAAAAAAAAAAAAAACAAAAGGAAAGCTCGTAGGAATAATCTTGAGAATAAAATTAACGAAATAACTGGCGAAATTACTCTTGCACGAAGCATTGGGCTATGAATGAAGACCCAACCTTTTCATCTCGAGGTAAATTAAGTCTCGTTTTTCCTTCAAATTGTGCTTGTCGATAATCCGACTAACATAAGTCGCTTTAACTTGACCTAATCGATCGATCCTAATACACCCCTGTGATTCTATTTCTTTTATTTTGCTTTTTTTTTTTTATTTGGTGTTTTTTTGATCAATTAGAACATTGATAATTTATAAATTATTATAATTATTTATATTTATTATAATTATTTTAAATTAATTTTTATTATATTATATTATATATTTAATTATATAATAATATATTATATTATATTATATATATATATTTATTAATTTTTATTATAATTTTATTTATTATTATATTATTATAATAATATAATATAATAATATATATAAGAACAAAAAAGTACTTTAAATTATCGTCAATTATTTGTCTTTTTTTTAATCATTTTATGAAATACCAATTACGTGAAATAATAAATATATAATATTATTATATTTTTATCGTTGTGTAAAAAAATCAATGCTACGAACAATTGATTTTCTCATTTTCCCAAGAAGTTAAAACATCCAAATTGTGTCGGATTGCATGAACGAATAATCAAATATAATATATACATACATATATATATATGTATACATATACTTAGTACGTGTTTCATTGATTCTTCTTCCACTTCTATACACACATTTAAGTTTATAGTTATGTTTCTTGTAAAAACTTTGATGACTATTTAATTACTTATCAAAGATAAAGTTAGAACGTTTGTTGAGATAAATAGATGAGAGAGAATATTTGAAATATATATTGTGTAATTATCCAAAAATTAGAAATCAAAGTGAGTACACTCGTAATATTTTAGGTTTTGGCAGTTTTGCTATTGTCAGTGATACCCTGGCCAGGTCCAAGTGTTTTTAAAATATCATGCCCCCGCGATCGTGCTTCGGTAGTGAGGAGGATAGTTCACAAGGTAAAATACTTTAATTAATATAGTAGACTCTTGTATAACATCAGTTTTTATAATTGGAATTTATCAAACACCCCTAAGTAACACAAAATATTGAAAAATATTGAATACATGTTTATTTAATATTAAAAGGAGATTCAATGTTTTTTTAGTATTATTATTAATATATATATATTATAATATGTAATTAAATATAATGAATATTTAATTATGATATTAATATTAATATTAAATATACATGTATTCAATATTTTTCAATATTTTGTGCTACTAAGGGCATCATCATCAACAACAACAACAACAAACATATTATTGATTAATATGTTTACATAATCCGATATTTAATACAATGCTTAATATTTTAAAAATGAAAGTTGCATTATGAATTGAATGTTACATTATTTATCATTATTATCTCAATAATAATAATAAATTATTAGAAGAAAAAAAGAACAGAGAATTTGTTTTTCGAAAAGTGATAAGAAAAATTAATTGTAATGCAATTGAATGAATAAAAATCACGCGTTATAATGGAGTCTACTGTTATTGTTGATTTGTTGGTTTTTCTTTGTTCTTCTTCATTTTGTTAAGACGACAAAGCAAAGTTTTAAACTTTGTCGAGATTTCAGAGATGGATACCTATCCTGAAAAAATATCAGGTAGAGCTACCCTTAGAATGTCCCTTTCACGAAAGTCGAGATATATTTCGACCTCAACAACGAGCAAAACATCAGCACAGACCGTCGCAATGGACCTGCGGCCTCTGCGGCAAATCCTTTTACGCGGAGAAACATCTCGACGCGCATTTCGATAACAGACACAAAAGTAACGTTAATACGGTAAGTTTAAATATCTGTCATTTATCACAATGATTTATTCAAAATATTTATTTATTTATTTTATCGGTTTATTAACTTTAATCAAATAGAAAATCAATATTGTAAAAGAAAGTAGTTAACGGTAATAGATACTAACGTCATCAATGACCGCAATTTTACGTCAGACTTGTATCGAAAATAGGGTTGAATTAATGAGAAAATCGATATTGGTAGAATAAATAAACCTGATAAAATCGGTTTAAAAGAGGAACAAACAAAAATAGTGTAAAAAGATCAATATATTCAACTTGTTTTGAATTGAAAACTAAAGGCGGAAGACGCCGTGTGCCTTGCCGACTACTGCGACATTATGAGATGCGAAGTATTGGGAAATCGTGATTTTGAAAGTTCGATGGACGACGAGGACGATGATGGGGGTCATCTCAATACCGATATACAAGTACGTTAAATAAAAAGTATATTCAAATGTGATTGGATTATATTTACTATTACACTTGCTTTCTAATTTAGTTTAAGGGGACCTTCTACTCTGAGCACCTAAAAAAAAGGCTATTTTCGCGAATTTTTTCCAAGAAAACTATAAAAGATATCGATCTAAAAGTTG